GTGCGATGAGCCCCGGCAAGAGACACCCGCGCGAGGAATCTCTGCGATCCTTAAACCCCTATCCACTGGACCACCTTGTACGGCACGGGTGCTCACACACAAGAGCAGGCCCTTGCACCAGTCTCGCGCGCTGGGCCTTTTCAGGGGCGAACGGAGCCGGGGACCACATCCAGCCTCCGTATCGGCTTCGACCCCGCGGCTGGCCGGCCTGTTCCACACTCCTGCCGCCCTTTCAGCAAAGGGGGCAAGGTTCCAGACGAAAAACTTCCGAGTCCTGCCTTCCGCTGGGGAAGGGGTGTAGGCTGTGCGGGGGGAAAAACCCGCTGCAGGCAACAGACAATCCACACGCTTGGTACACATGGTGGTACACTCTCAATGCAAACCTCAGCACAGAAGGCGAAGTGGTAAAAGAAAGATGCAGCTTGTTTTTCTGCTCAGGGGACTGAATGACAGAGAGGGAAAAAAGAAAAAGCTCACGTTAGGACAGGGGAAACACTAAGCTTACGCTCATCCTGAAAGGGAAACACGTGTACGCCTGCAAGGGAATTTGCTCCGGCGTTGATTTATTTGTCACAGATTCCTAATATGCCGGGCTTTCGCTTTTTGATGTTGGGGGGGGGTTGGACCCAGCTAAGGTCACAGGCGAAGCGTGTTTCCTGGACTTCCTCGCCTACCTCCCACCGAGAGTTTCACGCCGCGGAGCGCAGGAGCCCCGCCAGTCCGCGCCACATCCACCGGGACTACAGCAAGGCGGCCTGGGGTGCGCTGGGAGAGAGACGACAGGAGGCAGAGAGCCCGCTGGCTCACTGCCCACCTCCACCCAGAGCCACAGCCTCCTACCTCTCACCGGCACGTTTCGCAAGCTTGAAATTCAGATCACAGGAGGAGCCCGAGAAAATATCAGAGTTGATATTCTCTTAGCGGCTAACAACAACAACAACAACAACAACAAAAGCCTTTAAGGAGCCACAGAGCACAACTGCAGCACACTGAAACACTGGGGTGAACAGAAAACCAATATTAACTGGGAAATGAAAACGACGGAATGATCCAGAGATCAAGACAAAGCAACAGAAAAAAAACAAAACTCCAAGGAGCCCGAAGACTCCATCTCCATTATAAAGTTAACAACATCGTACAGTTTGCAAAGGAAATGAAGGCATCTGGCCTGTCAGGATAATTTGCTTCTCAGTAGTGAACTGATCCAAGGGTCTCCCCCAGCTGTTTCTTGAAAGAAGCCGGGGGGGTATCATGTTTGACAACATGATGGGGCTCCTTTCTCCAGACACCCACAACCCCTCGGTGGAAAGAAAAGAAAGAAAAGACAACTCCGAGCACGGCAATTAGCTTCACCCAGAAGTGAGGATTCAAACGGAGGAACTACGCTTAAGTAAAAAGTAGCTCCCCTCTTAAAAAGATGGGAGCCGTGGTTAAAATTCCGACGGACGTTTCCCTTTCAAGCTCAGTCGGCAACTATTAATTCACTGTAAAGGCAAGTAAAAACCAGGATATCGCTCGCTGCTGTTCTAAGACACATTTGGAAGACATTTATTCAACCTCGGCTATAATTAGGAGTAGTCCAGAGAGCGCCAAGTAAGATCCAGATGCTGGGCACAGACCCACTCAAGTGTTCTCAGCGAGCAAGCCCAAGACACCCAATGAAGATCAAAACGCACGGAAAGTGATGCACTAACACTGAACATGTTAAGCCAAATATGTCTCACACCAGTTTGCAGGTCCCAAAACCAGTTCAATAATACACATTACAGAAGACAGTCCGTGGTATTAGTAGAACATCTCAGATCAAGGTAACTGATGTATAATTTTCGCTTTCCTAGCACATTAACGTCCCTTATTTGCACAAGATAACAATAAGGACCTCACGGCATACACACCCTGAATTCGGTGCCGTCTGTTTTCCTAGCAGACACCGCGAAACACCCAGCAGCATCGGGTGAAACAAAACGCACCTAATTCTCCCCCCCAAAGAAAAACACCCCGCTCAAACAGCTTTCCACGTCTTGTCATCGGCTTCCTCCTCGCAGAGAGGGGGGTGGGAATGCAAACATTTTGACGGGGTGTCCGTCCCCCCCACCACCCCAACCACATCAGCTCAAGAGCAGAAACGCCGCCGCACGCCTGCCGGTTTCAGGACTTACTCGAAAGCGAAGAAGAGTCCGCTGGTGACCACGATGAGGACCAGAGTCAGGTAGAAGACCCCCGTCTGCCTGCCCATCATAATCCTCCCATTGCAGTAGAATCTATTCCGGCCGGGGAAGGTTTCCCACTTTCTCCTGGGGACCTTCTTGTGCGGGGACTCCATGGGCGACGAGCTACGAGTGCTGATCTGGCGGTACCCGCAGTCTTTCATGGGCCCGCCACCCCCGGGAGACATTAATCACAGAATGAACCCCCCCTCCCCACCACCACCACCACCACGATCCGGGGGGGAGTCGCCGCGGCGAAAAGGAATCCAAACGGAGACTATAATCTTGTTTCTTCTTCTCCGGCAGCCGGCGGGTGACTCTGCATGATGGAAAGAGCAGAAGACTCAGGATCCGTGTGGGTTTCCACGCCTCGGGGCTGCCGTCTGGCGATGTTTGCCGTCTATCGGCTGGCGACTGTACGCACAAATCCAGCGGTTTCCACTGAAACAACCACCCTAAAAATAAAAAAAAAAAAGCCTCGGTCGGGTCAGGTCGTGATCTCACCTCCACGTGTAGATTAGTTCCTGCACTTAGGTTTACGGTAAGCCCGTCCTCCGGTTTACTTGTTCCAAGCACACGCACCGTTAGCGCACAGACGCGGGTTTAACACTTGTCCCTTTCTGCTCATTTACAGCGCGTTACTTAGAAAGGCCACTGCAAAAATACGAAATTCCCCCATTTTGTTTAAATAACTCTTCCATGTTTGCCCACCCCCACCCCCCTGTGCATAGACACAACAGTACTACTTTGAATAAACTACTGATTAGTCCGGCCTCCTTGTAAAAATCCAGAGCTCCGAAGTTGTCCTACATCGAAGAAGTGGCCGTAACGATACTTCAGCAAGTCCTTCAGCGGCTCTTGAAGTTGTTGTTTTTTTTTCTTTACGCCCGTCCACCTTTTAAAAAGTACCCTTAAAAAAAAAAACTTGCGCGTACAATCAGATAAGATTGAAGTGTTCAGTGACAGGCACGGGGTCCTTCCGATATCGCCGCTGCCGTTTCGCTTTGATAAGCGAGTAATGCGTCTCCCGAGCCGATCCCTGGAGGAGGTGTTCCCTTTTTTTTTTAATCCACACGTTATCCTGGTTTGCTCCGAGCAGCAGTTAAAACTAAGAGCCACATCTTCACTCCAGACGGAGAAAAGCGTGAAGGACGCGTTTTATAAACATATGCATAAAAATGGCTTCATCCGTGCAGTAAGAACTGGGCGGGGGGGGGGGGGGGGTAGATTTACAGCCCCCAGCGCGTATCTGTACGAAATGCTCTGGTTTTTTACCACAGCTTCTGCGCTCCGACCGCCCTCATCCACATCTCCGAACCAATGCGCCACTAACCTCCTGTAGCATTGTCACAGAAACACCGCCTCGAAAGCTATTTCCTACGCTTCCATCCCAGCACGCTTCTAAAAGTTGCAACATCGTCAGCTCGAATGCCAAAAACGGGAACGTTTGTCGTTTTAATCGTCCGAAAGGAAAACGCATTCCCACTGCCGCCACCTTCACGCAATCCGGCGCTCGCTGCAACTAATAAACAAGGCGGCCAAGTCGCCTTGGAGGAGGCAGCGCGGGGGATCACGGGAAGTGGAGTACTTCACGGCCCCGCCCTCCGTGCCGAGAGAACGCGAGGTTTGATGGGGGGGGACTACAACTCCCGACACCCCGATAAACCGAACACATTCACACACCTTTCCCCACGCGCTTAGCGTCCTATTATAACGGCTCCTTCTTCTCAGTGTACCGTACGAGGGGCCCTGGTTATTAGCACAAATGTGCGAAACGCAGTTCAATTCCACATCCTCAAGTATTTTCAGTTAATTTGTTTTGGAAAATGTATGAGTCCCTCCGTTTAAAAACAATATTAGAAGCTCTTCCTGCTGGGGTATCTAAATCTACTCTGAACAAACTGCAGTATGTCCAAAATTCAGCAGCCAGAATCCTGACCAGGTCTAGTGCAAGTGTTCACATTACTCCTATCCTGGAGTCCTTGCACTGGCTTCTGGTCAAATTCCGTGTAGACTTTAAAATCCTCATGCTCACCTATAAGGCTCTGCATGGCTTGGCACCTCAGTACCTGTCTGAACTATTATCGCCCTACTCCCCACCTCGCAACCTTCGCTCTTCTAATTCTGTTCTCCATACTGTCCCCCAAGCCCGTCTCCATTGTATGGGTGACAGGGCCTTCTCCTGCTGTGCCCCCAAGCTCTGGAACTCTCTCCCCAAGGATATCAGAGAGTCACCTTCTCTAAACTCCTTCAAATCCAGACTCAAAACCCTCTTCTTTAGAAAAGCCTTTACTTAACTGGTTCCTTTCTTCAGCCCCCTGCTTTTCTTAGTACCACCATCCAAGGTCTCCTGTATATATTGTAACTGTGTTATATCTTGTGTATTCTTTTTATTTTTTGTTGTTGTCATTCTGTAAAGTGCTTTGAGACGCCACGTTTAAAGGCGCTATATAAAATAAAGTTTATTATTATTAGAGTTGTATTTATATATCGTTACATACCTAATATGCAACGATTAAGCCAAAAAAAAAACATACCCATCTCCTCTAACTTCCTTTTATAATGTTTGCTTTTATATATTGCCCGAGTAGAATATGAAGTCCATTTTGCGCATAATTGCGTGAACATATTTTCAAAGAAAAGGAATAGTTTTAAAATCTCCCAAAGGATCGAAATCAAGGCACAGAGCCTCAAATGGCAATTAAAGGTCAAATTCACAGTAAGTAAGAAAACAATCGTCTTTTAAATACGACGTGAGTTGTCCCTAGGAATGTTTCTTAGTACCTGTTGTTGTCGTCGGAAGACTTTCTGTGTAGGAACAACGCTACTGCCGGCATGACAGCCCCGCAAGAAGAAGGATTTAGCAAAGTCAGTGCTGAATGTACTGCAGCGTCAGGCGAAAGTGAAGAAAACAAGCTTATGTTATTAAAAGGTTGGGATTTATATGTGTATACTCCTTCTTCTAAGTAGGCGGTTACTCCCTTTTTATTTTGAGCTAGTCGTACTCGGAACTACGCGTGGCTTCTCAGTACGTTGACATTGCAAGACACAGCAAGGTGTAGAAAGTTGTCATCCTGAATGGACTTTCTCAGTGACTTAGGATTTTACAAGTTCTGCACTGGACAGAGAGGACTGCCAAGCTGGGTTTGTTGCTTTCGATCCTGGGAAACGCAGGTCTTATGTTATTTTCTTTCCTGATGTCATTGCATCTTAGTTGCTGATTTTAGATTGAAATTCTCTTGTAAAATGAATTGTTGGTTTTGTTGTTAGTCTTGGAATGAAGTACAGTATTCATTCCATTCATGAAGTCCCCTGTGTTGTTGTTAGGTGGCAGAAAGAGCAGAAAAACAACGCATAAATCAATTTGAACCATTTCAGCGCAGTTCACCATTCCCCTGACTAGGCTGAACAGAGAGAGAATGGATGGATGTGTGAATTGAAGGCTTTGACTTGGGACATAATGGGACACAAACCAGACTTTGTTGAATTATCACAACTCCCATCTGCAGTAAGACTCCCAAATCTCTAAACGTTGGGTTTGGACAAATTTTATTTTCATTCCTGATGTCATTTGCTGATTTGAGATTGAAACTCTCCTGTAAAATGAATTTTTGGTTTGGCTGTTAGTCTTGGAATGAAGTATCCATTCCATTCATGACGTCCCCTGGGTTGTTACTGTAGGTGGCCTTTTCCTTGGCGCCGTGGCTTCGGCCGGAGTGCTGGCGGGGTTCGGGACGACGCTGGCCGTGGCGAGGAAGAGGAGCCCGGAGTGGTTCAGTAAAGTACGTACCGGAGCGACAAGCAAAGTCCTCGATTGCCAGTCTTCACGGAGAAATCATGTTTATTTCAAATATATATTAAAAAAAATCGTTTACCTGGTTAAATTCAGCACACACTAATGTAACCTACAGAAACTAATCCGCAACCGCACGTTTCGGGTTTCTCCCGCATTATAGAAATGTAATTTGTCTGAAAAAATGAACAGAGACAAGGTGGTGTTTTTCTGTTACTGTATGTGGCATTTTGTGTTGAGAACTAAAAAATCCACTCGCTGCGAAAAAAAGAAAGTTGTGTACATCAGTAAATACCTTTTTTTGTATTTGTTAGAGTTTGAATGAACAAAGAGAGGTGCTGCCTTAGTACCAGATGGAGATTTCTACAGGACTATGAAGCACAGGTTCCAGCCAACTTGCCCGACATGTAGCCACCCTGAGTAATTTTATTAGATGTTTAAACTTAATCCTTTGTTATGTTTACAAAAGCACCTAGGAGCTAAACCCATGACCCTCTGGTCTGAAGTCTAGAGTTCTAATCACAGATCCATGCTGCCTTCCTTATTAGCTGACGCCTGTGTTGATAACATATAGATCTGAGTGAATAAATACTTCGGCGCACACCTCCTTCTGTTCGAATTGAGCAATTCTGTTCCTTGATATGAGCCCAGTGAAGACTTTACCTGATTGGATGCATTTGGAAAGGATCTGAACACAGCCTTTTTTTTTACACAGTCAGTGACTGACTTACCAAAGAATAATGTTTTTTTTTGTTCAACTATTTATATTTTTTTTATTTAAACACAAGGCTGTGGCTAATATATTGATTAACAAACATTAGAATGCATTTTACTTCAATGTTATATTTATTATTACGGTGAAAAATTCAAATGGTTGGTAGTATATTTTGAGTTTATGCGCAAGCAGATTAATTTTGATGAGCAAGAAAAAAATTAAAAAGATGTTGTTCAGGACTTTAAATAGACTGCCTATGCCTTCTTTGTCTATTTCAAAGCTTTAATCCACACATTTCTTCTGAAATGAGAGCTGTAAAATGGCAGATTTATTCTTGCATATATTGAGAAACTGTGATTTGAAGAAAGGATCTTGCAAAGTTGATTTCATTTTTAAGGCGCAGACCACACAGTGTACTCTTTGTTTTCCGAAAACTATTTTTAAGCTGAAGTTCCATCATTGTAAACATCAGTTTGGGGAAAATATGCTTTTAATGTGGTAAAATTGGATTTTCAACAGAGAAGTATGTGGTTTTATGTTCAATTTTCTTTCGCTTGATAACAACATAAAGCACACGAGAAGCTGTGTTTCAGACAGTGAGGTCCTGTCTCTGTCCTGGAACTAATTTCCTGTCCTGGAGCCCTTAAGGATGTCCTGTGTTGTATCATCTCACACTTCGGTCAGGCTGGACAGCCTTTCAGAAATCATATGATCAAGGCTCGTGGGAAAAAAAGAGAACACTGCAGAGCCAATAGGGTTTCGTTCTCTGAGAGGGGCATGTGACTGTAATATATTTTATCATCAATTACAGTGGAGTAGGCTGGGAAGAACAGCTTTATTTAGGAGGACTTCCAGGTGTTGAGAACAAGATTAAAAATACACAAAAATGGCTCAATAAAATAAAATCAAGGAGATAAGTTTTTCGTTACCCCGTCACATCAAAAGTACAAGATCATCTTAAGCTCACGAAATGTATCTACTGTACCTCCCTCTCTTTTCCAGCTCCGCTTACACTGTGAAATGTGCTTTCATCCAAGGAGAATGCAAAACAAGAGTATCTTCTGGGCTGCCCCACTCTCGCCCTTTATCCAGGATTTACTATGCATCGTGGGCCGGAATCGCTGTAAGACTGTACTGTGCTTTAGGATGGGAACAATTTGAGAGCAGAAAAACAACACATAAATCAATTTGAACCATTTCAGCGCAGTTCACCATTCCCGACTAGGCCGAGGCAGAGAGAGAATGGATGGATGTGTGAATTGAAGGCTTTGACTTGAGACATAATGGGACACAAACCAGACATGGCTGAAGTATCACAACTCCCATCTGCAGTAAAACTCCCAAATCTCCAAACAATATCCGCTGTCATTGAAAGAATGCCTGACATGAGACAGTCTCCTGTAGAACAGCAGTTTTTATGTGGAAACATCCTATAAAAGTTTTTCATGTTCCGGTGCTAAATGGAGTTTATAGTGAAGGCTCGGGAGGGATGAACAGCCAGGCTCAATCAGCCTCAGCTGTCAGTAGTTTGCAATCGCACCTTGACATCATTTCTTACCTAAGATGCTATAAATACCTAAGTGATCCCCTTCTCTGCGTCGCATATACTGTATCTTTTTGCATCCCTCCTCCACCTGGTCCCCCCTCACTCTGCATGGGGGTCCCAGCCTCCCCGTGCTGTGGCCAACACGCCCCGCAGACCTTTCCAGCGCGCTTGATTCTCGGGGGGCGTTATTCCGCCTGCGAGTCGGGTGCAAGCTCGGCCGGGCCTGTTTCTCCGCTCCGAGCTGCCTGGCAGTGGGAAGCAGGAAGTGCCGGCAGCTGGGCTGACCCTGTGCTGTGTCGTCCTCTCTCTGTTGCAGGGGGTGACGGCCACGGCGGCGGTGCCGGAGAGCGGGGCCTCCCTGGCCCTGCGGGCTCTGGGCTGGGGCTCCCTGTGGGCCTGCGGCGGGGTCGGCCTCATCAGCTGCGCTGCCTGGAAAGCGCTGGGGGTCCACAGCGTGAGTGTTCGCACGCGAGCCCGTCGGCGCATTGAGGCTTCTGTGGCCTTGTTTCTCCTGAGACACGGTTCTGCAGTTCAGTCCAGTTTAGTTGTCACACAGAATGCCCGAGTGCAGTGAAATGCTTCTTTGCATGCAAGCTCCCATACAAAGACATTAAAGGAATCGCCAAAAAAAACACAGAACAGCAGCAGCAGCATCAACAGCAGCAAGTAAAATAACAAACAGGTTAAAAAAAAAAACCTCAATTTGACAGCTTGTGGGAAGAATCTGGATCTCTGAATCTGGAGGTTCGTGCCCTTATGCTCCTATACCACTTACCAGAGGGAAGGGGGGAGAAAAGTGAAAAACCAGGATGACTGGTGTCCTTAGCGACACGTCCAGCCTTCCTGAGACAGCGAGATGTAGAAATGTCCACAGTAGAGGGGAGCTGTACTCCGGTGATGGACGGGGCTGACCTGATCACCCCCTGTAACGCCTTCCGGTCAGACAACGAGCTGCTGCCAAACCACACTGTAACCCCACACCTGAGCACACTCTCAATAGTGCACCTGTAAAATGTGCTAAGGACAGTTGAGGATAGACCAAAGTTTTTCAACTGTCTGAGAAAGCATGCCTTTTTCACTGTTCCCTTATCTGTGGAATGCTGATGAGCCCTAACACCTAGCTACCTCTGGCTGTTAACTTGGATTGTGTGTAGGTTAGTGTAAATTAGAAGTCTGTTTGATTGGTTCTGCTTTCTAGCATCGGAGAGAGGTGAGAGGTATTAATATCCGCTGGGAGGGCTCATTCTTAAAGCACCATGACCCTGGACAGTGTTCCAGGTTAGATCTGTTGCACTGTATGTTGTAAAAAATGAGATGGTTATCTTGTATGGGGAGGCAGCGAATCTGAAATGAAAGGGAAAAAGACTGAATATTATTAAAAGGGAGTTAACCGCAGTCCCAGTTTCTCAGACCGGTTCTTAAGCCTCGGTAACAGAATAAATTCATTGACACGATGGAAAGAAATGACAAATTCCAAATGAAGCACAAAACCCTGGACTTTGTGAAGGTACTGTACGTTGCCATGTTGTTGCAAACTCGCATTCAAGTTCCCCACCAACTGACGTGAAGCAGCCGTTCCTGCTCACTAGTCACTGTAACGGCCGAAGTAATGCGATGTGCGAGCAAATAAAGATGGGTTGTGCAGTAGACGTTTCACTGCAGAAAGGCTCCAACACGACCTGCAGGCAGAGTGAACAAGTAAGGTCCATTTATCGGTAAAACCCTCTCGAAGTCGAAAGCATTATTTCTACCGGATTAAAAGAGTTGTATCCGCAGCCCTGCTAGTTTACAATGCCGTAGGGCCGCTCTAGCTCCCCAGGCGTTTTATTGCCTCATTCTGAATCGTAGAACATGCTGCTGCGCATACCTGGAAATGTAATCAGAATCGCGATGCGAATTGGAGGTTTTACCAGCTACTGTGTACATTTTACTCGCGGTTTGAAACGCACTCATCAATGCTGATTCTTTCTAGCCCCAAAATACGAAAATAGCCCTGCAGATCCCCTTTAAGACGATGCCCTTTATCCAATATATCAAGTACAAAACAGTGTATATCAAGTATCAACACATATAAAAGGAAAGGCAGCTGTTCATAAAATGTCAC